AGAAGCGAGTATCGGATGAGCCACAAGTAGGATCATCCCTAGGTGTAGAATGGGCATAACTTAACCACAATGACTTATAAAGCGGTATTTTTAATTTCTCTTGGTTCTTAATAAAAAGTCGTAAACCCCCGCTTTGTTTTTATGCGCACTATAATCGTGTGGAAGAACTTTGTACTTTTATAAAGTCAATTTGAAATTATTGCCGATTAGAGAATTGCAAATTTCAAATACCAATATCGTTTTCATTAGACTTCCGACCTGAGTGTTTTAAGTATGAAAATGTTGTGCTACGCGATCCGCAACCTATCCCGTCATAATTTCGTGCATAAATAAAAAGATTGACCAGCGCAAAAAGTATATTGGAATGTGCCGGTAAAACAGATGACTTTAGGATCCTCCGAAATATGACATTCAAGTGTGCGCCTTCCTCGGGAACGAGGGAAAGAAAGTTTAGCGGGATGCACGTGAAAATTGGCACGCGAACGCAAGTCTGCGGACTTTTCTAGACGCGCGGCGCCGCGACGGGTTCCGCGCGGCTCTCTCGAGGAGTTGCCGGCGGACGGCGAAAAAACACCCCGAACGGCCGAGTGGCGGCGATGCGCTCTCATCCTCGTTTGGCGCAATCGTCGGATGTATTCGGGCCGTACGCCGCCACCGTATATACCGCGTACAGCGGGCTCAACAAACCCTCAATGTGGCGTTTGAGTTTGGCAGGTTATGGATTGAGGTTTCGGGGTGTGGCATCGTTATTCGGCGGGCCCGCGGGACGTTGCGAGACGCGGCAGTAGCGACGCGATGTCGCGTTGAAATACGTTCGGGACGCGCGCGACGATCGCCGAGTGTTTGTGCACGCGAAACTTGCTCGCGCTCCTCTTGCTCTTGTTTTTTTTTTCCTTGTCTGCCAGCGCGGACGCGCGACAGCTCGCGGCGTGACGTTTTCACGCGCCGACAGAGCAAGGAACGGTCGCGTAACGGCGGAGCAATCGCGAGGGCTATGCACGGGACACTTTCAAACCGATCCCCGCGTTGACCAAGGCGCGCGTTGCCCGTGCGCTCCTCGCACCTGACGCAGGGCAGACGAGTTGCTGGGAGCCAAGCGACGAGGCAGCCAGGCCGCGCGGTCCATGAAATCACGTGTAACAAACACGACGTGGGATGTTGAGCGCAACCACCCCCACTCAGCCCCACGAATACACCGAGATGTCTCGGTTAGCCGACTACTTCGTAGTGGTCGGCTACGATCACGAGAAAGAAAGTGAGTCATCGCCGGGAGAGGCTTTGCACTTGTCTATTTCGTACTTTTCACCTTCAGCCCCTGTTACATTTCCTCCCCCCCCCCCCCCGATTCAAATCGTTAGAGTGACGGTTGGGTGCCCGGCAGATGCGTTGCCGGGGGTGGCGAAATGGGACAGGCTTTTCGCTAATTCGCTGTGAGCAGCGTCGACAAATGTATAAAGGCTGGTCTACAATACATGGAGTAAGCTGGAGTAAGGAAATAAATCCATTTTATTTCTTACTCCTACTTCAGCTCTTACTCCCGGTGAATCAAAATGCCATCAATCAGTGTTACAATTGTTTTAAAAATCATGCCCGTATTTCAGCTTCCTTACACCAAAAGCTAGAAGTTAGGGCTCTCCCTTACGCCTTACTCCACGTATTGTAGACCACGCATAATACGTGTGCTGTGATTGCAGGGGGTGGTGTGAGTAGTGGAGTTATATTACAACGATTCCCAGAGAAGGATTGGCCGGATACACCTTTCATCGAGGGAATAGAATGGGTAAGCATCTCTCGGAAGGCAGATTTGTTGGGTCTCGTTATCGACACACGTTGCGTACTGTCTTGCAGTTTTGTCAACCGCAAGGATGGGCCTTGTCGACGGAGCGGCAAGAACCACGGTTTTTCGTCTCGATATTGACGGATATCGACGCAAATCGACATTACTGCGCCTGCATGTGCTTCAACGAAACGGTATCGATCGTGCCAAGCAAACCCGTGGACGAGGAAGAGGATCCTGTGGATGGAGATAGTCGCCCCTTGGTCAGAGCAATACCCGCCATCGCACATCATAGCATTATGTACGCACCCAAGTGTCTGGTGCTGGTTTCCAGGCTCGATTACATAGAAACATTTAGAGTACGTGCACATTTATTTTGACAATTGACATC